AAATAGTTAAAAGAATTATCATTTTGACTTTTTTTTTTTAATTAGAGTTTTGAAATTCCTGCTTCAGTTTTTCCGGTTTAGATTTTTTTTTTTTTAAATGGAACATTTCCGTTTTCTGCAGAAGAGGGATTCCAGTCAACAGCCATCTCTATAAATTAATTCAAGTGCCTTACTTTGTTAGGACAACTGCACAGATGGAGACTTTACACTAGTGCTAGAGGTCTAACTACCCAAGCATCAAATTAGGCTGCATAAATCATAAAAAATGATTATAAGACTAAATTGCAAAGTAGCTGATTTGTATCTGCTGCATTTCTTGGTCGCAACAGGGCCAAATAACCAAGTCACTTGTAATGCAGAATCAACTGTCCTAGGCATCTCTCCTTTTTAAACAGCCAAGTCATAATGGGGAGAATTCATATTTGTGCTGGCTCTGAGCCCATTTCAAGAACCAAAGGGAGAGCACTTGGCTGCTTTTGAGACTGCCAGGGATAGCTTGGCCCTTCGATACAAAGCAGGCCAAATTCACGTCTGACCTACCTAGCTTCTGGCAGCAATAGTTGAGCTGTCCTACACTGCTACTGGTAAAAAGCAGCCAGAAACACTGAAGGAATCCAATTTGGATGGCTCCTGCTCTGGAGATCCCAGGCAGAAGGTAAGAGGTAGCGACTGCCGCTCTCTTCACCAGTGAAACACTGGCAGATTCTTTACCTAAGGGAAAGCTATTAACTCCAGAACAGGTTAATGTGTCACAGAGGTGCTGGGGAGAGACAAAACTGGAGACCATCTGAACGTGAGAATACACTGCTTATAGAATCCATATACTGCACATCAAATCTTTTCATGGTTCAATGATGCAGTACACAGATACCTATTTGCAATGGGGAGGATAACTGCTAAGAGATGCTGAATACACAGCCCTGCTAACACTAACAAAGTAACGAAGATTTGTATTTAAGACCAGCTGACCCTACCTTTCATTCTACAGCACTTGATACTAATGGCTGCAGTCTAAAGACTACCAGTCTAGTCAATGCTTTAGGAAAAAAAAAAAAAAAAAAAAGGTTTGTCCAAGAATGACGGCAAATACCCGTCAGCAGCAAAAGTGGCAGCAGTTGTTCATTCTTCTACTTGATCTGCTTAAGTTTGAAAAGGCTGCCTGATAATTATGATTACAAGGTTAGAGTGAAGTGAACCCTTCTGCATACTTATCAACAAGATATAAAAACACTGTATGATCCAAAAAACTGATTGCTTGGCCTGTTACCTTAATTATGGGGCTTATGTATGTGCTGAAATAGCAAAGCAAAATACAATTCAGTGTTGATCAGGACAGGGGAGAACACTGTTTACAGAGATAAGGCTTCTTTTACTTAAATTTAACATTCATGGAAATTTCAAAATATTAAGAACAAGACTTATCTGAATTCAGAGAAAATAAATAGCTAGAAAAAAAAGCACAAGTTTTAATGGAAGGAAAACTATACAATTTTCTGCTCCTCTCAACGCAGCAAACTTTTGTTAACAGATGGTGGCAGATCTGTTTGATGCAGTGGGCAGCATTTCCATCTTATGCTGCTGGCAAATATTATGAACATTTAACTCATTTACTCCTGCGCGCACCCTCAGAATATATGTAGGCACTGCTGGCCTGTCAGAAGTGTTTCGCACATGTAGCTCCTTTAAGTCAATGGAAATGTGAGCTCAGTATTAGCTAATTTGTGTATTTTACATAAGGAATGGCTAAGTTTCCTTATCACTCCTTCAACGCCTACAAAATTAATATTTGCCTCTTTTTCAGGCAAAAGCAGATAACTCCAGTTTACCTATTCCTATTTACCAAAAGAAATGAGCCACCAGGTGCTTTTGGCTGTCAGCACCAAAGGACCCTTTCTGTGAGACGAGTTGGTCCATTGGCAGAGGAACAAATGCAGTCTGCCCATAAGCTTGTCACCCTCTCACCATCCAACCTCTCTCCTCGGTTCCCTTCTTACTGCCCTGCCATGTCCCTTGTGACATCCACCTCTCCTTAATATGATACCACTTCGCTCCACCAACAGAAGGTATCAATATTCAGTTCCTCCCACACCAAACAAGACAGAAATGTTAGGATCTCACTACAGCCTTTCCATCAGTGGGGGCCTAATTAAAGTCTCTATTCTCTACCCTGTCCTTAATTTTCATAAAACGCACAAAAGACTTCTGCATCCATTTAAACTGGTCTAGGGAGTTCAAGAGTTTGGTGACGTGAAGGGGAAAAAAAAGTGACAGAAAAGTGGAACCCGCATGGGTAGGGGGTGAAGGAACAAGCTAAGAAAGCACAACAAAACCCCAAAGACAAACACACAAATTAAACAAAACCTGAACACTTTTCCCACCAAGTCATTAGCAAAAACTCTATTGGTTTAAATTGGACTCAAATTTCACCTTTAATTTTGACTTAATTTAAAAGATATGACTGGATATTCAGAGTACACTTTCACTGAACTCTTTGTATAGTCTAATTAATCATGGCTAGCATTCAGCTCATTTCTTATATCCTGTTGGTGGCTGTAGGAATCAAGATGATGTTTTTTTACATGCATTCATCTTTCTTACAATCTCAGAGTTGTCTGACAGATCGGAACAAACCGTTCATATCCCAGAACAATCCTAGAAATTTTCCCAATGCTATAACACCAGGATGCAAGCAAGTTTCACTTTAATGCATATTGCAGCATTCTTCAGATCAGCTTGAAGAATATAGTAACATCTACATGTTTCTTACCAATATGCTGAGAATCATCAATCCTCAACACTCTGCAGTGAGAATCTCCAGTTAGAAATCTGTGCAGACATTTAACATTCTCTGGAGGGAAGGAACAAAGAACTGAGTTGTTCTACATATAATCTTCTGGGAAATATATTTAGTTTATTCTAAACAGTAAAGTGCTTTTAATTATTACATGAGTAATATAAACCCCCCAATGAATAAGTCAGTAACCAGCTTAAAACTATGAAGTCTGTAGCACCTCACAGACCAGGGCAGCATCCTTGAACTTATCTCTGAGAAACCTCATGTGATGCATGATTTACTTTAGCAAGTGAATACTTGGATAGCACTTTGCTCTTGAAATATACTCCTTAGATGCTACTTCTAGAGCATAATTCACAAGTAAATGGTGCATATACTTTAAACATTAAAGCTCTCCTCTCTATAATACTGCAAAAAAATGTGAAAGGCTCTTCTGTTGACTCAAGTTACCAGCAGGTGTTAAACCAAGCAGCCTGTGCTGAAGTTCACTAGCTCCACTGTAGCTATGGCTCGCTAACTCCCTCAGCGATACAAAAGAGATGCACCTCCACCTACCCAAGGACGAAGTTAGGATGGCAACAGAGCTACATAAAATACCTTATGATTGAGGGATGAAGTATTTGTGGAGGTCTCAGCTGCAGGGTTATTTGGAACTTAGAAAGCCCAAATCACAGGAACTATATAAATTAAGACACTAACTTCAACTGCAAGCTCCACAGGTCACATTAAAGATCTTATGCATACACAGTAATAAAGAAGCAAAGAAAGGTACACTCCCAGTTTATTCTGAGTAAGTCTAAGTGCTCTTTACGTAAACTAGCCACTTGCAACTTAAGCTACTGTTTCTTATACAGAAGCAGCATCTAGAACCCCCAATCATCCAAAGTCAAGCATCAAGCAAATACCTATCAGTCTCTTCCCTAGTAAGTCAATTATCAATTGATACTGAACTAACACAGGACTCTATGCCTGAAAAATGTTTCTGGTATCTTATAGATGTGATTAACAATTCTTTCATTAAAAAAACCTCAGTAACTAAAACCTAACTCATTGCAAGACTGCTTGTTGGCCTCACTCTTGCTTGCTAAGGCTATTTTAGAAGGGATTTAAAAAAAAAAAAAACCAGCTGAATAATATATAGCGGTACTGATTCCACTGAATTTAGTTTTGAATTACAGAGGCATAGCAGTTCTTTGCTCCTTAGGGCTGCATAGCAGCCAGGTCAGAGGTATCTGAAAAACTAGTTCAGTAAACAGAATTTAACTTCCCATTTCATAGGAGATTTTGCATCTTCTAAACATCCAACTGTTTATTCTGATTGATACGGCAGGAAGGAGAACATCAGACTCCCATAAAGCCCCAGTAATCATTAAATGCGTGCTCAGCTCTGTAGTCCCCATCTTATTAAAAGTCATTAGACAAGAGAACATCTGTCACAGTTTAAGACTGAATTCATTCCATGACTAAACGGAATTGGGGAAAGATGCTTCAGAGTCATGTTAGTAAGAAAGAATATTGATAACTGGTTTACACCATTTCAAATGATTCATATCTGTCCTGACAGGTTCACTGGAAACACACAAAGTGAGTTAAAAATCTGTGGTCCTACAATTACCTACAATAAACATTTTTGCGCTGCCTAAGGCGCACCCTATGTCAGCACATGGACTTATTTTCAACACAAGACAATGCCATTGGGTTAACTAGCAATGGTTCAGCTCTTGAGTGTCACCAAGGTCAGGAAGTTTATGCTACTGACACACGTACTGAAGAGTTAATGATTAGATGCTCAAAGAATTACGAAACTGAATCAAATCTTTGACTCAGCAGCTGGCATACAGTACATCAATTACACTTTACAGTGACATGTTATGTAATACATAAGGGGCAAGTTCACAGTTTGATTTTATGTACCTCATTTTATACTGTATTCCCCGCAGAGTCAAGAAACAGGCAAGCTCTTCCAGAGGGTAGTTTGAAAAACTAGTTAGTCACTCCGCATGAGCTCTGTTGCTCATACATTTTTATGTGCTGTTTATATGCTCAACAGAGCATACAAAGAACAATTTACATCGTGTGAATACTGTTTCCACTCCTCTTCCTAACCTAATTCAAATTCATCTTTATACTGAAAAATATTGGTTACTGCTTTTTTTAATATTGCAAACAGAAGAAAAAAGGTTCACAGTGATTTAACAGCAAAATCCATACACCATTTCATACTTTATTTGCATCTATGGTTCAAAGGAGGCAAACGTGACAGCTATAATGTGAAGTGCTTGATTCTTTTTACTTATAACTTAAAAAGCAATTTTTGGAAGCATAGCTAATATAACAACAGGCGCAGTATAGCTGAAGTCTTACCAAAACTAGCGAGTCTTAAGAATCTGGTGATTTAGGATACATTAAGGTACCTATACAAAATAGGTTGGGCAGAATGACACAAGTAAAAAGTAGATGTATACAGTGCTTTAAAAACATCTGCGTAAGTGCCAGTAAAATTCAAGAATGGTACTGAGTGGAAAGTAAAGAGGAAATAAAACCATGAAAAAGTGATTCCCTTATAGATTCTTCTTCTGGGGGTACAAAGTGCAAACAAAGAATAGTTATCTCATTCAGTTAAGACGTATTAGCGGCAAGAGAACTTTGAAGGTGAAGAAATAAGTACAAGAGTTACTGAGAAAGCAAAACAAACCTAAATTTACTTTTCAGCCGAGGAGTTTTCCAGATATCAGCCCAAAGTGTTTTGGCATAAGTTCCCCAGAAGGGCTTTTTAATTCAAGTCTTCCTCAGCCTTACTGAGGAGTTGTTCCTGTGGTTCTCATAAAACAGGTGGTGCTGAAGATCTGGTCTGTGCCCAAAAACACCGTCATCAGAAGTTCACAACAGGAGGCTTCTCGTGGTCTTCTCCAGCTCCTGGATTTGAGCCTGTTCCTATAAATAACCCCATGAAACAGCTTTCGTTATATCCTTAAGGACAGAAATGACTGCCTTTGAGAGATGCAGAATTCAAATTCTTATGCAACTTTGTTTCATTTCACCCTTCTTAACAGATTTCAGGGCTTAAGCATTTAGGGTTTTTTTTGTTTTTTAATTAAAGAGATGACCTGGGAAAATTCCCAGAACATCTGTAATGTACACCTAGTGCCTTCAGAACGCTCAGTCGGATAAGAAATGCTTGTTTGTTTGCCAGGAAAATCATTTGTATGTAATTGGCAATACAACCATTTGTCATTCTACTGAATCATTGTTTAGAGCATAAGTTAAAAAACATATACTTAGAATCTCTCCAATAAATGCACATGGTCATTTGTGAATACATTTCCATTTTCTAAATGCTTGACAGATGCACTGAAAGCCAAGATCCACAGATGAACAGAGCTTGCACAAAGTATTATCCTTCCATCTGAACAAAGAAAAATATTCCCATTAAAAAAATAGTTCCTCCTACTGTGCACTAAGATCTAGATTCTCAGAAAACGATTCCATCAAACGTATTGCTTTACTTTCACTAAATTTCCATACAACATAAGCATTCAGCAGAGAGCACACAGGATAAATTCGGCTACAGGACTAGTTAATGTTTAATCCTATGCCATTAAAGTCTAGTGTCTTGCCACATATCACTGCTAGCAGTGATCCAGGTTTGTTTTGTCTTTGCTTTCTTAGCATCCTAAGGATTTACAACTGAACAAAAACCAAACAACAATATTTTAGTGGAAAAATCCCATCCCACTCCCAAAAAACCTTTACCAGTCTGGAGCTGGCACCACAATTAGATTCCCTGTAGGAGACACACTGGCAAGAAAATGAAGGCTTAGATGCTCCTGAAGAGAATGAGGGGATAGCACTCCTACACACAGCCTTCCTTAACCTTGAAAAGAGACAGCCAAGTTGAGCAAGTGCCTCAGTTCCTCTTTGCTGTTTTAATTCGTTGTCCTTTTCACTACCCTACTCTTCAATGGATTAAACTGTTTAATCATTAGTTCTTTAAGCACAATCAGATACTTATGAAGGAAAGAAAAATTTCTTGAAAGTTGCATTTTAGTTGCAATTTTTAACACTATCAGGTTTTTTTTTTTTTTTTTTCATCTCCCTCAGCTCTACTCTTCCAAATTGAAGTCTGGGCAATTATTCTATAAGAAAGTAGTGGTCCAGATTGCATGAAGATTGTTACATACCCATCTACTACTGAAAGCAGTCAACATTTAGACACTCTTGAGGAAGTGAGGCTGTCAGTTCTTCATAAACCTGATCTTCTAAAAATATCTAAACAGAAATTGTGCTGTAGTAAAGTCTTTTCGGGAGCATAGAAGAAGTGACCATCCCTCATAGGTCAATGTCTTTAAGGTCCTCTACAGAAACATCCAATGAACAACAGTTTTAAGAATGAAGATGGATATGGGGGCAATCCTGTTCCGCATCCATACAGTAACAATGCTATAGCAAGTGAAATACATTCTAGTTTAGAAATTAAAAGCAGAGAAGAGGTGTGCATCTTATGAATTGAAGCACGTTATTTTCTCCAAGTAACAACCGAATTTGAGTTCATGAAAACAACACACAGCTAGCTTTCCTCCAGGTAAAGAGGCTGATAATTTTGTGAAGAACATACTGAAAATTTGAAACAATCACCATGAATCATGGAGAAAACATTCACAGAATCACATAAGCATTGCGCTCAAAAGGTCTCCATCTCTTCAAGGCCTAACGTGAAAAAGTAGAAGCCTTTAGCAGCACGGAAAACTGACAGGAGTGATCCTAATAGGGTGGTTCTCACAAGATACCAAGGCTGGAATGCAGCATTTCATTTTTGAAATAGAAGGCAATCCAGCACAGATATATGTCTTGCATGATATCTCTTCAGAGATCTGCTTTCTTTCACGAGTCTGTGCGCAACACATTTCTTTTGTATGTGCTTTAAGACCTCTTCCCTTTGCAATTACAATACTATGTTCTTTTGAATCATTTACTCACTTCCCATAAACCAC